GGGGGATGGTGCATCGTCTGCCAAGTCTTTTGCTTTCGTAGTGAGTGATTTTAGCACCATACCTGGGATGAAAACCTGCCACAACTCTAAGTGCTCTCAGCCTTTCTTTGTATTGGCGACAAAGTCTCGTTACAACAGGTCCAAGTAGTGGAACCTCAAAGCATAGATACCTGTATCTGCTTACATATTCTAGAAGAGACCCATCATGCAACTGGATCTGACGAACTGTGCCTCTCTGCCGAGGAGGACGCCTGTTGAGTATCTTTGTTTTATCCCCTGAGATTATTAACCCCAGGTCCTGACACGTACATGATTAAGAATGTTTTGGGTGTTGGAGAATCCGGTGGTGTGAATCATTATGTCATCAGCAAAACTAACCAAAATAATGATGGGGCTGGCTAGGCATGGTATTAAGTAAGGCATTAATCAAAATGTTGAAAAGGGTGGGACTAAGCACACCTCCCTTGGGGTTCCTAATTCAAATCTTTAGTTACACTTCTATGTCCCTGGAACAACACAGACGACTTTCTGTGGACAGGTAACCTTTAATCCAGCGGAGAAGCCATCCTCCAACATCCATTTTTGGCAAGTTCACTAATGATTACATGTCGGGGGAGTTCATCTGAAGAGCGACGAGTTAAAAGGAATGGTCAGGATCTGAGAATCGACCCCTACATCCACAAATAGGTTTAGTACGTACTACGAACCACACACACACACCCACACACGGAGCTTGGACTCGACCCCTGCAACCTCAACTAGGTGAGTACTAGATGAGTACACAACACACACACACACACACACACACAACAACACACACACACACCACACACACACACACACACACACACACAACACATACACAACACCAAAACAAACAATGAGTCAGAGAGATATTAGGAAGTATTTCTTCAGTCATAGAGTTGTCAGGCAGTGGAATAGCCTAGAAAATGACATAGTGGAGGCAGGAACCATACACATTTTAAGACGAGGTTTGATAAAGCTCATGGAGCGGGGAGAGAGAGGGCCCAGTAGCAACCGGTGAAGAGGCGGGGCCAGGAGCTAAGACTCGACCCCTGCAACCACAAATAGGTGAGTACACACACAAAAAAATATTAAACCCGGAAGTGTCTATAGACAAGTGCCTTTGAAAAACCATAACTAAAATACGCTCACACGTTCACACACATATAGACTCAGAAGTGTCCCTGCTTGCAAACAGTGTGAAGTTAATGAGGAGAATTCGGTCGGAAAAAGGATGAGGCAGGACTACAGAGGGATCTGGACAGGCTGTAGACCTGGTCCAGCAACTGGCTCCTGGAGTTCAACCCCACCAAGTGCAAAGTCATGAGATCGGGGAAGGGCAAAGGAGACCGCAGATAGAGTACAGTCTAGGGGGGGGGCAAAGTATACAAACCTCACTCAAGCAAAAAGGATCTTGGGTTGTGCATAATACCGAGCACATTTCCTGAGGGGCCGTCAACCAAATAACTGCTGCAGCATAGGCGACTAGCGAACCTAAGAATACATTCCGACATCTCATTAAGGAGTCGTTCCGGACCCTGCACACAGTGTACGTCAGGCCATATTGGAGTATGCAGCCCCAGTGAGGAACCTTCCCTGGCTAAGCACGTCAGGAAACTAGAGAAGTGCAGAGGTTTGCAACGATACTAGTCCCAGAGCTAAGGGGCATATCCTACGAGGAGAGGTTAACACAACTCAACCTGAAGGCACTGGAGGACAGGAAGGACATGATAACGATATATAAAATACTGAGAGGAATCGACACGGTAGACAGAGACAGGATGTTCCAGAGATGGGAAACAGCAACAAGGGGTCACAGTTGGAAGTTGAAGACTCAAATAAGTCACAGGGATGCTAAGAAGTATTTCTTCAGCCACAGAGTTGTCAGGAAGTGGAACAGTCTGGAAAATGAGGTAGTGCAGGCAGGTACCATACACAGCTTTAATAAGAAGAGGTATGATGAAGCTCATGGAGCAGGGAGAGAGTGGACCTAGTAGTGACCAGTGAAGAGGAGGGGCCAGGAGCTATGAATCGACCCCTGTAAGCACAATTAGGTGAGATATATATATATATATATATATATATATAATATATATATATATATATATAATTATATATGTCGAATAGGAAAAAATTGGTCAATTAGCAAGAACTTATTTAAAATTAAGTCGTTTCGAAATTTTCTCTTATACGTTCAAAGATACATTTTTCATTTATGTTAATGTAAAAATTAATAATTTTGTACCAAAAGAACCTTAGAAAATTTACCTAACGTTATTATAACTAGCGCATTTTAATTTAGCCTAATCCAGCTAAATATATTTTAGATAAGTTTATAATAATTTAATATTAAGCAAACACAATGCAATATATATTTTTTTTCGTTAGGTTCAGAATGATTTTTGCGAAATTATTGCATACACACATTTTTTTGCTTGCCTTATTCGGCAAGAAGAGCGTTTCTATTTAAGCCAAAATCACAAGTTTTACCTATTCCGCACTACATATATATGCATATGTTTATTCAGTATTATTACAATAATGGTATATAATACCGGCAATATGACATCTGGGTATCTGGGTATCTTATAAATTACATGACCTACCTGTATTTCGCCTTCTCTTTGGTTGTGGTTGGAGCCCATGAACCTGCTGCTACATTGATAAAGATACTTCTTGTAACTACACTGATGATTATTGTTAAGTTTCTGGCTGTAGGATTTTGTTTGTTGTAAGTTCTCCACTTTACTACATACGTGTCCAGGATGACGGGTCACTGGTGTAGTCGAGACATCAGGAGTGGCTGTGCTAAGGAAGTAACCAAACGATTGACTCAAAGTGCCACGACACAAACGATAAACTCCATTGTGAGCAGGTGAGTTACTCCCTGCCCCACACACTGTACAAGACCATTTACAATAACTGCAAGAACAGTGTTGTACGTCCGTAAGCACTGGTCCGTGATGGTAGGACGGAGACTGTGTTCTTGTATACTGCTTCATTGTGGCTTAAGTGTACAAAATCCAGTGAGAAAACAAGAGTTGTATAGCTATATTACTATATCTTTGGTGTAATAAAAATATGTCGAAGTAATGACGTATGAAACGGTCGTTCGTGGTGAACAAAACTGAAGCATGGTCACCCAGGCGGGAGGAACAAGTACGGTAAAACCTACCACACCATTTACTTGCCCCGACCACCTCTAGCTGACCCCCACGCTGGGGTATACTAACAGCTGACAAGATGACACTGTGGAATCATGCACGGACGCACGCTCGCTCGGACGTACGCACGCTCGCTCGGACGTACGCGCGCTATTAATATTATTATAATCAAATGGAAGCGCTAAACCTAACAGGGTCATTCGCGCCCTGTTGCCCAGACTCACGCGCGCTGTTGTACGTACGCACGCGCACTGTTGCACGGACGCACGCGCATTATTGCACGGACGCACGCGCACTGTTGCACAGACGCACGCGCGCTGTTGTACGGACACGCGCTCCGACGCCCACATACATCTCCCCGCCCCTACACACACACGGTGAGGACAAATTTTTTAGGCGTGCAGAGCCTACACATGATAAAATATGTTAAGACACTGAGGAAAATATTGAGGTTTGCACCGAGATTAGTCTCGAGCTGAGAACAACGAACTCCCAGGGAAGGTTGAAGGAAATGAACTTCACGACATTAGAGGAAAATTTTATATTTTTTAATTTAATTCATGTTAAGTGCTGAACTCATGCGGGTCATTCAGCGCAAAACGTGGTGGAGGCTTGATCCTCCGTCTACTGAGTGCGAGACAGACGCACTTCCTATTTGTACTTACATGATAACGATATACAAAATACTGTGAGGACTTAATAGAGTGAACCGGAAGAGAATGTTGGATGAGCCACATGGATGTTAGAAGTATTTCTTTAGGCTCAAGGTGGTCAGGAAGCTGTAAGACCAGGACGAAGGAGTAGAAGCAGTGATGGATTTAGATGACTAGGCCCTAGCCTAGGCCCTAGCCTAGGGCCTAGCCTAGGGCCTAGCCTAGGGCCTAGGTTATTCCACATGTGAGACCCCTCACAATCCCCCACCCTCACCACCAGACTAAGATAAAAGTGTTTTAAACAAAATTCAGTGAAGCCAAAGATGATGACTGGTGATTAAAATTCCTCAATTCACAATTTCTCCTCTACAGGACATAAGATGTTATTGTTAAATACCGAGTTAAAATTAAATTAAATTAACACAGAAAAACGTTTGCAATAACCGAACTTGTAAACATTTTGAGGAATAAGCAGGAATTTTTAGGAAAATGAAATTATAAGTACTATTATATTCTTTAAAATACACATATTCTTTTAAAATACATATTAAGAAATAAAGAAACTGCAATCATCAAATGCACTAAGACTAAAAAAGTTTTTTTTATATCTTTCCTCGTAGAAAAATCATCCAAAAGTTCATCAAAATTTGGTTGTCTAAGTTTGTTACTTTCATTACACAGAATGTTCAGTGTGGACAACCTCTCTTGACACAGTGTGGCCCTTAATTCATTTTTAATTCCTTTGAGGCTTGAAAAAGACCTCTCCCGATCAGTTAGTGACCATTAAACTAAGAAATAACCGCAAGATTGCCTCCACATTAGGGAAGGCTATACGAATTTTTTCCTTGTATATAAGTTGATAAAGGTCAGTACTGGCCTATGGTTTTGACTCAAGTACAAGTGAAAGTGCAAAAGTTCATCAGTAAGTTTCATGTCAACATCTTCTGGGTGTACTGACAACAACTTTGCTGAATTTCTTCCTTAGATGCTGTCAGATTAGCAAGAAAGGAAAATATTTGTGCAACATCATTGTACACAGTAACTCAATTTTTAAATTGGCTTCAAGTTCATTTAGTATAGAAATAAGGATTTTATCCTAAACTTTTCTCTTGAAGAGAGTTCATCTAAGCCAGGCATCATTTCCTTGCTGTTTCCTTACTCTTTGTCTCCTTGTGACAGTTCTATAGTTAACATTTGGTAACGTGGCTTTTGCTTCTTGCTTAGGCTCATCAAAATCTTCTCTACTTTGGCTTAAAAAATCCTGAAGTGAACGTATAAACATGCACAAGTACTTAGTAACAGTTTTGATTTCTGCATGGCTTTCCTGACCTTGTGAAAATGATGTAGCACACGGGTTCAATTATGCAGCATAAACAAATTCCAGTTCTCCCATTTTCTGCAAAAGATTGCTAGCTTGAAGCTTGGTATTACCCTTCTCATTAACATCAGAGTACACATGAGTGAGGGCCTCGGTCAACTTGTCTATCTCACTGCTTTCCTGGAAGGACAAAATCAATACAGAAATCAATGCTAGTGTCGAGTTATTGGCTTAAGACAGTATTATTCTGAAATGGAGTGCAGGGAACATTACTGAAGGGTTGTTTAGAGACTAGAGTTCGTTATGACAGCATGTGCATTAAAGGCCTATGACAGTGTCAAAAATATTATACACCTATGCCGGAGGTCTCCTAGATTTTGAGGCCCTAGGCTTCAGTCTGCCAAGCCTATGAGTAAATCCGGCACTGAGTAGAAGCCTCTCTATACATTGTTTTAAGAATAGATATGATAGGGCCCACGAGGCTAGGGAGGAGTAAACTCAGCAAGAGACAAATTGAGTATGAGGACCAGGAGCTAAGACTTAGCCTCTGCAACTACCAACAGGGAAGTACATACAGGCTACCATCCACGCTACACCCGGTGGGTGTGGGTGTGTTGGTTATCGTAGTGGTGGGGGTGATGGTTGTAGTGCTGCTGTTGCTATTTTTCTGTTAGATGTTTATGGTTGCTCTGACCAGTATGGTCATAAAATTATTTTATATGTGGGATCGAGTCGTTAGGCCATGTAACGATCGCAACATGCTCTGTTAAGTCCCACGCGGTGGTTACTACTCACCACACATGCCTCCTCACTTTCTCCTTCCTGTATTTACCTAGCTGTGTTTATTGAGGTTGAACTACAGTTCTTGTACCGGTCTCTGACTGTCATAGAACATTTGCTCTTTTCTTGCAACACTGAATTTACCTCAGTTCATTTCAAAGTCTTTCTCCCAGCCCTGAGATGTACCACCACTCCCTCAAGGATGCCACCCACATTAGTTATTTAGGCCGAAGGCTAAATAACTATTTACTGCTAGGTGACCAGAAACAGAAGGTGGATAGTTCTATTCTCTACAGTTTCCCAAATTTAGTTTATTCTATTTCTCTATTAGCCTAACGATAAACAGTTTTTGTTACTATGCTACAGAGTATTTTTGTTTATTCCTAATTACATCTCCCAGTTTTGCGGCCTTTCAAAGACGTCAGGTCGAATTCATTCACTCCTCATAGATTTTGTTACTAATTTTTTATACCAGTCAGGCATATTTTTGTTTTCTTTTAGTAGCGGCTCCATGCTGAAGCAGCACACTCGAGGATCGGTTTTACATGGGTTGTGGATAATGAACTGATGGATTCTTTGTTCATTTTTAAAGTTAATTCTAGTTTACCTTGCATTGTTTATGTTATTCAGCTTTGATGAGAAAATGTTAATTGCGATGATGTTACTTCCTGATGGCTCTGTTGTTGCATTACTGTGTTGGCTCTGTTGATAATAATAATCCTACAAATACATGATACAACTTATACAGACCATAACTGACAAATAACAAAAAGGCACAATACCGTGACTGGAACAATACACAAATAACCCGACATAAAAGAGAGAAGCTTACGACGACGTTTCGGTCCGACTTGGACCATTCACAAAGTCACACTAACAGAGGTTAGGTTAGGTTAGGTAAGGTTCGTCAGGAAACAGGACAAATGTTTCCTGACGCGGGTCTTAGTCAGATGATGACCCGCCTTTGGAGCTTTTGGTCATCTGACCGAGGCCTTCCGCTGGCTTACCGGTCCACCCCTTTAAAAATTATGGTCATTTATAACCAGAGGTGGAGCAGGACGGCTATATATAGGCAGGAAGAGGTGGTAGTAGTAGTAGTAGTAGTACAAGAATTGTATTTTTATACCGACAGGATGAAATTAAGACACATGCACAACGCCCGGGCATCCCCATCGTAGACGTTTCGCCATCCAGCCAGCCACTGGATGGCGAAACGTCCACAACAAAGACAACCAGACGCCGCACATGTGTCTTAATTTCAACAGTAGTTGTAGTAGAAGAAGAAGAGGTAGTAGTAGGGGTAGCGGAAGAAGTGGGAAATAAGGAAGACGAGCCAGTCAAATACAAAGGAAGGGGAGCATTGCAAGAGAGCTAGATACCCACAGAGGGAGAGCAAGCGCACAGAGGTGCGTGAAAGGGGAAGTGGTGAAATAAAATAAATGAAGAAGGAACAGAAACACGAGACAGGAGAGAGAAAGACAACCCAGAGGAGAAAAGGAGAGAGGAAAGGGGAAGAGGAAGAAGAAAAAGAAAAAGAAAAAGTGAGGATTCAGGTTAAGTCACGGGTGTTCTGAAGTTTGGAGCATTTTACAATGTAGTGGGAGAGGAAGTCATCTACAGAGACGAAGCCAGGGCTAAGGTTCATACAAGGAAAGTTGTGTATTAGAGAGGATTCAACTAGAAGGCGACTACTACCACCTCTTCCTGCCTATATATAGCCGTCCTGCTCCACCTCTGTTAGTGTGACTTTGTGAATGGTCCAAGTCGGACCGAAACGTCGTCGTAAGCTTCTCTCTTTTATGTGCGGGTTATTTGTGTAGTGTACCATAACTGACGTCAATGACACACTATATAGAAAGCCCCTTGCTATGCTCAGCAGTTCAGGCAAATTAGATTAATTTTGTCCCCAGGATGCGACTCACACCAGTCGGCTAACACCCAGATACCTATTTACTGCTAGGTGAACAGGGACAGAAGGTGTCTTAAGAAAACACGCTCTAGTGTTTCCACCCGTATCGAAGATCAGTACCTAATCAGCTGGGCTGGGGGTTCTTTCCGTCGGTTTACGTGCGGCCAGCAGTAACAGCCTGGTTGACCAGTCCCTGATCCACCACGAAGCCGGGTCTCAGTCCGGGCCGCGGGGGGGGTTGGCCCCCGAATCCCTCTTCAGATATACGGACCTCAGTGTGTGAGCCGAGTGCGCTACCAACCGAGCTATACTGCGTGATGGTACGTTGTATTACGCTGTGGGGACAGCTTTACATTACGGGTCTGAGGGCTCTGTTAGCATTACCCTTTGGCAGGCTCTGTTGCATTAAGTTAATATTCTGTATTTTAGAAGGAAGTGCATCAATTAACAAAAAAAATTTTTACACGAGTTGATAAAAGATGTAGTTGTCTTTCCCTAATTATGCTTGCCGGGGTCGAGGTATAGCTCCTTGCCTTAACTCTAAACCATTTATCGATGGGCTTACTGATACCTGGCATGTACTTCTCTGTATCATGTTCAAATTAATAAATAAATAAAAAATAAATAAATAATGCCAGAACCTGTTTGTGCTTTTTCATGAAACTGTAGGGTGTCTTTCTTCACCTCGTACTTAGTGGCAGCTCGATGTTCACAGCCAAAGGACCTGGATTCAATCTTGGGCGAGGTGAATCTGTAGGCAAGTATCTTAATACCTACCGCCCATATTAAACCTAGCAGTAGGTACCTAAGAATTAGTCTATTGTTGTGGCTCTTAGCCTGGAAGAGGACCTAAGGATTTTCCTTGGGTTATTACGGTTTAACCTAAGCTTATAGTGACCATAACTAGGCGAAGGTAGTAGTGAAATGTTTTTCACCTAGCTGTTAGTAACAGCATTTCACATATTATTACAGTGATGAATTTAAGCAGGAGTATACTGGGACGGCCTGCATCTGCTCTTGTTACAACCTCCCTAGATAAAACTCTAGCAATTAATGGAGTTATGCATAAGAATTAATAACTGGGTGTTTATGCTGGAAACTAAATTTTTTTGCCGTCCTAAAGGCAACTAAGTTTTAATAACTTTTAAACACTGAGCTTGACTCTTTGGTTACCAATCGACCCATGGCACCTAAAGTCAGTTCCTGACCAGCCGGGCTGTGGCTCATGCGTCGGTTTACTGCAGCCAGCAGTAGCAGCTTGGTTGATCAGGCACTCATCCACCACGAGGCCTGGTCAGGACCCGGCCGCGGGGAATTGGGTTTAAAAGCCCCTCTAGGTATACCTCACTCACATAATGAATCTAGCAACATGCTCACTGGAGAAGCCAGGTATAGACATTCAAAAATCAGAGAAAGAGGAATTAAAAATGCAATTTTTATGGATTCATGATCACTAAATTTAAACGCCACGATAAAAGCTGATAAGTTAGCCAAATAAAGTACTCTGAAGGAAAATGTAGAATATAACGGTACATCCTGTCTATATTAGTAATAATAGCCGGAGAGAAGTAAATAATGAAAGTGAATGTTATAGGAATGTAGTTAGCAGCCTGAGTAATATATCACTGTATTGTATGTTAACGGAGCAACTTGCAATGTTTTTGTATGTTTACGGAGCAACTTGTCATGTATTGTATGTTTACGGAGCAACTTACAATGTATTGTAAAGTTTACGGAGCAACTTACAATATATTTTATGTTTACGGGCAACTTACAATGTATGTATGTTTACGGAGCAACTTGCAATGTATTGTATGTTGCGGAGCAACTTACAATGTATTGTATGTTTACGGGGGGCAACTTGCAATGTATTGTATGTTTACGGAGCAACTTGCAATGTATTGTATGTTTACGGAGCAACTTGCAAAGATTTTATGTTAACGGAGCAACTTGCAATGTATTGTATGTTTACGGAGCAACTTGCAATGTATTGTAATGTTTAGGAGAAACTTGCAATGTGAACAGACTAACTAATGTAGTAACCAGGGTTAGGTTGGTTTACAAGTGCTGGTAGTTAGGCAGACAAACAAATGAAGAGCAAACTAAATGCAAAGTATATTGTCATCCTTATGGTAACTTCATACTGTGCTTCACTGTCCACTTATTGAGGAATATAGAGATAGATGATACAGTAATCTATGTAATATGTCGAGGAATCAAAATTTAAAGAAACTAAGATACCAGACATCAAGCAGATGTCTTGAATTTGCTTGCC